CTCCTCTACTCCTCCTACTCCATCCTCTTCCATAACCTCCTCGGCTGAGTCCTCTTCTGCTGCTGCTGCATCTTGCTCCATATCAACGGCACCCCCACAGCTCCCCAGGTACTATTCCACATCCCGGATATGGCAGTGTCACACCGTCTTGGGGTTGACTTGCCTGAAAGCAGAGAGTCACACTGGGCTAGCACTTCTGAATGCACAGGTGGATCAGTGGCTGACTCCGCACCAACTGGAGATCGGCAAAGTGGTTTGTGACAACGGAAGAAATTTGTTGGCAGCATTGCATTTGGGCAAGTTGACACATGTGCCGTGCATGGCACATGTGTGTAATCTGATCGTACAACGCTTTGTGCATAAGTACACAGGCTTACAGGGTGTCCTGAAGCAGGCCAGGAAGGTGTGTGGCCATTTCAGGCCTTCCTACACGGCCATGGCACACTTTTCACATATCCAGCGGTGAAAAAACATGCCAGTGAGGCACTTGATTTGCGACAGCCCAACACGTTGGAATTCAACACTCCTAATGTTCGACGAGTATTTGTATGACCGGGGTGCTAGGACAGCCTCTGCGGAGCTGGGAATTTTTTTGCCACGTTACTGGACGCTCATGCGCAATGCCTGTAGGCTCATGCGTCCTTTTGATGAGGTGACAAACCTAGTCAGTCGCACCGAAGGCACCATCAGCGACATCATACCATTTGTTTTCTTCCTGGAGCGTGCCCTGCGAAGAGTGGATCAGGCCGTAGATGAGCGTGAAGAGGAAGAGTTGTGGTCACCATCACCACCAGAAACAGCCTTGCTGGACCTGCGGCAACGCTGGAAGAGGATTGTGAGAAAGAGGAGTCCGAGGAGGAATGTGGCTTTGAGGAGGAGGAGGAAGACCAACCACAACAGGCATCCCAGGGTGCTCGTTGTCATCTATCTGGTACCCGTGGTTTTGTACATGACTGGGGGGAAGAACATACCTTCAGTGAGATCACTGAGGACGAGGAACAGGACATGAGTAGCTCGGCATCCAACCTTGTGCAAATAGGGTCTTTCATGCTGTCGTGCCTGTTGAGGGACCCTCTTATAAAAAGGCTGAAGGAGAACAACCTGTACTGGGTGTCCACACTACTAGACCCCCGGTATAAGCAGAAAGTGCCTGAAATGTTACCGAATTACGGCAAGTCAGAAAGGATGCAGCAGTTCCAAAATCAATTAAAGTATGCTTTACACAGCGTGTAAGGGTGATGTCACAGCGCAACGGGAATCTAACAGGGGAAGAGGTGAAAGTAATCCTCCTCCTCCCATGACCACGCCAGCAAGGACAGGACGCTTTACAGATGTGTTGTTGATGGAGGACATGCAGAGCTTTTTAAGTCCTACGCATCGCCACAGCCCTTCGGGGTCCACCCTCAGAGAACGACTCGACCGACAGGTAGGTAGCAGACTACCTCACCTTAACTGCAGATATCGACACTCTGAAGGAGCGATGAACCCCTTGACTACTGGGTGTGCAGGCTTGACCAATTTGCGATAGAACTTCTGACCTGCCCCGCTTCAAGTGTCCTGTCAGAAAGGACCTTCAGTGCAGCAGGAGGTATTGTCACTGAGAAGAGAAGTCACCTAGGTCAAAAAAGTCTAGATTACCTCACCTTTATTAAGATGAATGAGGGATGGATCCCGAAGGGACTGACAGTGGGCGATACATTCGACTAAAAAAGGCCTGATGAGGGGGACGTAACAGGGTGTCGCGGCTGCCGGCCAGTCGCGTGATATTTAAATCCCTAGCTCACCCCAGTACCTTGCCCTTTCGTGGTTTCCTGTTCCTGGTTTCCTGAGAGTGCTTTATCATTGTGAATCTGATTTCCTGGTATCCTGATCTTGGCTTTTCCCTGGTTATTCTGAATTCTGGTTTCCCTGACTTGGCTTGTGTAAACGGTATTGTGTATTTTCTGGCTTCCTTGACCTCGGTTTTCCATTTGACCATTCTCTGTCTCTAGCGTATTAGTCCGGCCATTCTAAGGTTCGGTTTACGCTCTGTCCTTTTTATTTTCCTTTTCTTGCCTATGTATATGTTTACATAGTTTCTGTGGGCTGGGCCACACTAGTAGTCGTGACATTGGGATTAAACTGATAAGAATAGTGCTACTTAACACACCACTCCTATCTGGTGGCACATTAGATTGCACGCGCAGTGCCCCAAATTTGAAGAAGGAGGACCGACCAAGCATCTTTTTCCATCTCCCGGTTCCTAAAATCAATGCCATGTAACAGGGATTAAACTGATAGGAATAGTACTACTTAACACACCTTTATAATAACGCAGAGAGAGGAGTCTGAAGATGAGGAGTCAGAGGAGGAAGGTGGCTTTGAGGAGGTGGAAGACCAAACACAGCAGGCATCCCAGGGGGCTTGTTGTCACCTTTTGGGGACCCTTGGTGTTGTACGTGGCTGGGTGGAGGAAGAGACCTTCAATGACATCAGTGAGGACAAGGAACGGGACATGGCTAGCTTGGTATCCAACCTTGTGCAAATGGGGAGTTTGCAGTTGTGCAAATGGACTGTTTGCGGTTGTTTGCGGTGCGTTAAACGGGGAGTTTGGTCTGTCACTGTGAAGCGGGCGTAACCCTTACACTACCTGATCGATACATCATACCTGATGTTTTAAAGCACGTTATTCCAAACAATTTAGGAATGTTAGGTGATTTATGCCCTTTATGGATTAAAACCAGACTCTGCATCAACTATGTAATTTTCCATGGGTGTTTTGCCATGGATCCCCCTCCGGCATGCCACAGTCCAGGTGTTAGTCCCCTTGAAACAACTTTTCCATAACTATTGTGGCCAGAAAGAGTCCCTGTGGGTTTTAAAATTCACCTGCCTATTGAAATCTATGGCGGTTCGCCCGGTTCGCGAACATTTGTGGAAGTTGCATAGAAAGTAAGAGAAGGTGGGAGTATGATTTAAATGTTTTGGTTGAATGTTTGTATTCTGAGGTTTCAGAAGGAGTTTAGGTATAAGTATAGTGTATGGGATGAACAGGAGAGAGGAGGGAAGTAAACCAGGAGCAATGAAGATGGTGTCAGTAGGGACAGATAAGCAGAAAGATAGAGAGATTTTAGTAATGAGAGAAGTGAGGGTGAAACTGAAAAATAGTAGAGAGAACATTGTTAAGTAGTGTTTTGTTATAGATGAGGAAATTATAAGGGCAGCTAGGGCCACAGGAGAGCGTGGAGGGGTGAAGGGTTAACTGGTCTGTGGTGTGGGAATGGAGGTGTTACAGGTGAGGAGAAGATGTTAGACATGATTGGTGTATTTGGAAGACCAGGTGATTTGAACTATCTATAAATGTAGTGAGTACCATGGGGAGGGTGAGGTGTGGGGCAGGGTGGGTGAGAAAAAGACTTGCTAGCTGTGAGTCCTGAGAGCAATCGTTCAGTTTGTTTGGGGCTCAGTCTTAAATAGAAAGTCTGGGTTTAGATAAAAACATAACTTCTGGGTCGAGAGAGACTTGCAGATATTGAAGTGAGAAGGGCAATGAAGAGAAAAAGGGAAAGGACATTTAAGATTTAAATATAGAGGGCATGGTAAAGATCAGATAGGTGAAATTAATAAAAGTTGAACATAAATTAACAGGACTATTGGTGCAATAACTAACATTAACAGAAACAATTTAAGTTATTAATTAAGCTGAAACACTACAAGGGGGAGGTAAATAGGAAAGAAAATGCAAATTAAAAAACAGGGATAAAATATAGATACTGCAGGTATTCATGAGAAGATCTTCCAGAGATGCTACCTCAGCGCAAGACTTGCTAGCTGTGAGTCCTGAGAGCAATCTTTCAGTTTGTCTGATGGGGCTCAGACTCAGACTTGATGTTCTCAATCAGTTCCAGAGATTAATATCTAAATTTACATGTGCTTGCATGGTATCTCACTTAATGTTATGATTTAAATTTAACACTTCTAATTATTCTTGGTATGTCCTTAAACAAGATGAATGCCCTCATTAGAAGTTATATAATATTTTTGTTTAGATTTGATTTGGATCAAAAAAAAATTTCTTCTAATATGACGCTTACTGATATGTTTACCACTTTGAACATCTTAAGAAATAGACTAAATATGAGAGTTTTTCTGTAAATGCTCCTATCGATGTGTTTAAAATATAATATGATCAAAATGAATATCTTTAAGTGGAAACGGGGTATTTTAAATATCTCTGACCTATTCGAAGGCAAACAACTTATGCAATTTTTACAGACACAGGCTAAATAAACCTTCTAAAGAATTATTCCTGTTTTTGAGACTCAAAATTGATATTGCATCTCTAAGTTTATACTTTTTAACCATTTCCATATTCTTTTTTGAATAAAATCAGTTTTAAAGGCCTGATTTCTAGGTCCATTTGATTACTGGATAATAGTGAATTTATTGGGTAAAATATCCCCATAAAATGGGAGAGCGATATTAATTTTCTCAATTGGATTGGGTTTGTGCTACTCATCTGGTAAAACACAGCTTACATTGCATTGCTTTACTAGAGCTATATTTTAAAATGATATACAGATGGTACATGGTTCCCTTCTTTCAGAAGAATATCCAAGTATTGTTGGAGAGGTGGAGATATGGCCAGTACCATTTACTATATCTTATGGGAATATGAAGGTTTATGGGATTTAAAAGAACAATTAATTGCATTTCAGGAACCAGTAATTATTTCTCTCCTACTTTTTGTATCTAATATTGGTTTTCCTTTTCAAAACAAAGCTCAGAAATATATATTTAATCATATTCTTTTTGCCACCTAGTTATGTATTGCATGTTTATAGAAGAAAATCTACTCCTTTTATTTGGAGAGATGTAAATCGACCAAATTAAATACCAATACAGGATGGAATATAATTGGTACATTTTATTGTATGGTGTATGCAAGTGATGTAGTCTTCTATTTTTAAACTGATATTTACTATGCATTTTATTTAATGAATAAAATAACAATATAGTGACAAGACACCAGAATTTTAAATTTGGTATAACATATGTTATACATCAGGCATGATAAGATTAAATACAACATAAACAAAAAAAAATAGAGGGAGGAAGATTTACTAGGCTGATCTATCAGAATTTATGTGCTCTCATAACATTTATCATGTGTTTAGTTAAATAGGTTTTATTTTCTTCACAGCAACTTTTGGTAAATTCATAACCAATTTTACAGAAATTAGACTAAAAGAGCAGAGCAGTAAAATTTCACCAATGCAATAATATTTCCAGCTACACTGGTTTAAATTTAACTAACTAATTTAGTTAACATATCCTTAATTCTGTACTGAATAAAACCCTATTTCTGGATACTTTCCTTCATAATTGTGCACATATAAAAAAGCCACAAGTGTTGAAAGTTAATATTTATTTTACAATAACATTTTAGATAGTTATGATTATTATAAAAAAATTAAAAGACGGGAACAGTTTTTGAACAAAACAAAATCATTGTTATGACCTATTTATAGAACAACAGTCAATTTCAAGAGTGCATGTAGTTCTTTCAATTCATTCACATTATTCCAAATCATCTTATTCTTCACAAATGTCCTTCCTGGATTGCAGCATGAAGGCAGCTGTCCTGTGTGTTGACTCAAAAAACTAAGCAAGACAAAAAGAAATGTAATTAGCTGGGCAATATACAGAAAATACTTTGTAATTTAATTTGCAATTTAGCAATGAAAAACTTCAAGACACAATTAGAACCACATTAAAACATTTTACATTACTGACATTCAGCATCATTGTGCTATAGCCCATAAAAGCCAAAACTCATTTGGCATTTTTGATTGTATATGCAATCTGTCTGTGCTAGACTTAACTGTACTTGTGAATTAAACTTTGTACTCCATAAGGAACCTGTAAAACAACTGGTGATTTCATTCAAACATGTTGTCAAGTTCTGTAAACTGAGACTAGTAATATGCTATGATTATTTTATATAAATAACAGAGTCTATATTTTTTTTTCTATTTTGGTTTTTTTTTTTGCTTACAACTTTTTTCTGTGCTCATTTTTCTATATTATTGAATATATAGAAAATACAAGAGTTTTCCATTGTTGAATTACAAAGTAATTATCTTCAAGACACAAGAAGAACCACATAAAATAAAAAAACACCTCCAACATTTTGCAGTCATCACCTTCGAATCCCACTGATTACTCAATCACTACTCTCACAAACTACTTATATAGTGCAATCATATAACATTAATTTTATTCAGAATAAATACTATTTTAAAAGATCACATTGGTAGTGTTTTAGTTTAATTAAATACAAATCATTTGTAGAAAATATAATGTGGTTAGAATGTTTACTGTATATATGTTATAAAACAAAATACTGTATGATAAAATGTATAAGTCAAAGCATTCTTGCCACAATTGGAAAATATCTACCCAGGGCAGGGAAGATATTGGAAAACACAAGTTACTCAATTCTCATCAATTGTGAGGTGCAAATATATCGGTATGGCGAGCAGTCTTTTAAAGCAGCGAACAAAGCCCATCTAAGAGAAAATTACTGCTATAGATCTCTATGTGCAGAAAAGCACTGGAAATGCTATAAGCTGGTTATTATAGGCTCTGGAAATCTGCACTTCATCAAGGTGTTTTATTTTACCCTTGCTTTTGGCTTTATTAAGATGATATTGATAAAGCCTAAAAGTATGGGCAAAACACGGTATACCAGCATAAGGAGGATTGTTCAATAGAATAAAGGAGTTACATAGCTGAAAAGAGACTTGCGTCCATCAAATTCAGCCTACCTCACATTTGTTTTTTGCTGTTGATCCAAAAGAAGGCAAAAAAAACCTCAGTTTGAAGCACAATTTTGCAACAAACTAGGAAAAAAATTCCTTCTTGACCCCAGAATGGCAGTCAGATTTATCCTTGGATCAGTTAATTTAGAAAAGCTGATCTGACCTTATTGATATAGGACTAAAACAGAAATTTCTATATTTTACTTTATTATATTTTATTACAACTACCTTTTTTTGTAACTGGGAAACTGAAAAATGTACAGACCAGCATAGTGATGTAGTGATGATTATGTTTTATACGGTTCTTTAGTTTATTTAACATTTCCCATATAATTTACTTACAATACTTTATTAGATCAAGCTACTTTTTTTTTTAAGTGTGTAAAGAATATGAAGCCATAGAAAATGTATCTATGCTCAATATGATTTCAGTTGCTCTACTCATTTTCTTTATGTATGTTTCAAGGTTTTACTGTGCAATTGTAGCTAGGCCATTGCGATTCTTTACATCAGAACTTTGGGGAAAACTGGAAAAAGAGATCTGATTTTTTTATTATTTTTATTATTTCTGAGGATTCCATATGAATAACATGTTATCAATTAATTAATGTCCAATGATTGCTCTCACATGTTTTTCTGGAATCTGTCAAAGATAGTAGATATACGCTTGATAGATAAGGATAATATGTAGGGTTTCTTTATGCAATGTAGCAATCAAGGTATATCCATGCCTTGTGAAAACTAATTAAAAGCAGCATTCCTGATTTAATAGAATATTCAAACACAATGTATGTCTATTCAATTTACAAATTAAAGTGCTGCCGTTGATAAAATCTAACTTAAAGTTAGATTTGGAGAGTAAGAATGTATTGCTTACCACTGACTATTTACACAAGGCCTTGAGAGGGCCCGACCTCCCGCATGTTTAATGTTATTCGTATGATGTCTATTCAAGTTTTCTAATACAATAGTAACAATGAGAGTTTTTCAAAAGCATGTCTATACACCCTGGAGAACTTACAAAAAAGGACACAGAAAAAAAACTTCCGTAAACCTATTATAGATATTCATAGGAGATTAAACAAGTAAATTGCAGAGAGCCACCAGCAAATATAATTGAACTTGTTAACGTTTTTGAATGACTAACATTTATATAACATTTTATCTATAATTATGTTCAATAAGTGTTTATTGACATATAGAAAAGAGAATTACAGAGGACAAAAACAGTAAGATGAAGTTACAGAGAACATTACAAAAAAAAACAATAAGCTTTGTCCCTATCAAAGTGGGGAATACAGTGCAACCTCATTCTGCCTAATGGAAAGCAATCTCATAATGCAAGAAAACTGGTTTGAGCAAGGCCATGAAAATGCAGTTGACATATAATCATATAGAACTGAAAATGTTCTGTATCTGGAAAACAGAACATGTTGCCTGCAATCTCATATGGAGAGAAGTACTAGGGAGAAGAGAAACAAAAGAGAGAAGGGGAGGTGGGAACAGGGAAAAAAGGGCGAGAGAGAGGAGAAGGGAGAGGAAAACTCCAACCCAATCAGGGCAAAAAACACCACGCTGCCCCCAAACACTCCAGGATCCTGCAACAACTACAGGTCTAATATCAATCGGTGATGTCCCTCAAATGAACATCAATTTGCTCATAACTAGAAAAATCTTGGGAGGACAAAAATTCTAGACAATAGAACCACCTCTTGGGTCTTGGGGTCACCTGCTCCTAAATTGTCCAATGCCCTCGCTTTCTCTACTATAGAAATCCACAATGCTAAAGTTGTGAGATCTCCACCTCCAATACAAGGGAACCAACTATTTTATCACTGTGTGTGTGTGTGTATATGTATATATGTGTGTATATATATATATATATATATATATATATATATAAATTAAAAAAAAATACTGGCACTCTTGTTTTTTATTTTTATTTTATTTAAGTAGATCCAAGTAAGGTCAACATTTCAGCCTCTAAGTGGAGCTTTAATCAGAACATATAAAACATACATTATAATAAATGGCTTCTTATAGGACAAAAAATAAGCGGGTATATACGAAATCAGCTATTCACCATTTATCTGATTGCACGGCGTGCACCTGACGCATGTGCAGAATCTGGAGAACTGTCTCTTCGACAGCAGTGATTGATTACTTCCTTGTGTACAAGCGCCATCAGGAGAATATCTCCTCAGAGTTCACAGTGAACAGCCTACCTCCTAATTCAAGGTCCGGTGCATCTCCATGGCAACCAGAGCATGTCGGCAGGACAGAACCAATCAGTGCTGTGCATCTATGGTTTCCCCCACAACGTGACATTGTCAGAGGCATACTGATGGCGATTCCGGGAACTAAAGAAACTGGAGAAGGATTCACATGCAGAGTGGGCATGCCGGCTACATCGAGCTGCAACTAGATGGGTACAAGCGCACCAAGCTAATACTATGGAGGAACTGCTTCAACTGATATTCCTGGAGCAGTTTTACAATGGCCTGGCTCCCAAAGTCCAGGAATGGGTAAGGGACCATAACCCCCTTACCCTCACAGACACAGCCCTGCTTGCGGTCACATCAAGTCAGGCAGGTTTTGAGGGGGAGGGATAGTCTTGGGAAAAGGGATTACTGTATAGGAAATCAGAAAGGAGAGTGACTGGGTCAGTTGGTAGTTCCCCAAAAGTATAGGCCCTAATTACTCCGGATAGCGCATAATATTCCACAATCTGGACACCTAGGCATTAGCAGGATCAAATACTGGCTGATGCTAAACTTTTTCTGGCTAGGGATTTCAAAAGATATCCGCAAATATTGCCAGACATGTGACACGTGCCAGAGAGTAGGAAAGAGGGGAGACCGCCACAAGGTGAAACTTCACCCTCTCCCCATTATTGAAGAACCATTTAGCAGGGTGGTCGTAGATCTTATAGGGCCTTTGCCGATGCCCAGTCCCTCCGGCAAGAAATACATTTTAACCGCGATCCAGAGGATATGGACTAGATATCCAGAGGAGGTGGCATTGACCAATATCCACGCCGAGACGGTAGCGGACGCTTTGATGCAGATTTTCTCTCGCATGGGTTTACCACGAGAGATTATTTCAGATCAGGGTACCCAATTTACCGCAGAGGTCACCCCTTAGCTCTGGAGACTATGCGGAATTAAGCCAATAGTGAACTCCCCATACCACCCACAGTCCAATGGCCTATGCGAACGGTTTAACGAAACATTAAAGCAGATGCTTCACACTAGCAGGGACTGGGAGAGATTCTTGCTGCACCTCCTATTTGCCTACTGGAAGGTGCCCCAGGAATCCACTGGTTTCTCCCCATTTGAACTGCTGTTCGGGAGGCAGGTGAAGGGGCCACTAGATCTGAGTAGAGAACACTGGGAGGAGGATATTAGCACAGACAGTACTGCCATTGTCCCTTATGTATTGGAGTTTAGGGACCGCTCAGAAACGCCAGAGCACTTTGTACTATAGAGGAGCCAGGGAACGCAGCTTTCAAGTTGGACAGAAGGTGTTTCTTTT